ACAGTAAGCATTATGCGGTCTACACCAATTACAATGTGTGAATTTAGGGATATAGATACAGAATATGGACAGCATTGCTTCTCGGAGACTACAAAATCTTTAAAACTAGGTGGCGAGTCAGACGAAAGAATTATTCGCAGATTCTACCCTCGAGAGATTCCCACATCAGAACTAGAAAGAGATGAGAAAATTAATTTTGAGAAAGGATATTTGAAGGAGGAACTGTATGATGAAGAGTATGTGACTGAGGAAGAGCTTAGGGAAGAGGATACTCCAGGAAAATTCAAAAATTATGTTCAGCTTCCTGGCATTGGACAAAGTGCCAATGAATTAAAGGGCTGCATCCGTCAGTTTGTACAGAGAAATAATAACGGAGATGAAAGACTATGGCACACAGACAAACGAGGAATTTTTGGGAAAAACATGAATGCTGAGAAACTTGTCTGTGCAGACCGTTATGAGCAAGAAACGAGTGATCAAATTGACAGCTTTCACTGCATGCCGAGTTCAGGTAAGCCAGCTGTCGAATAAAGATAAAGTATAATAGAGAATAGATAATTATATGAACCCATTATAGCTGGCATATAGGACTATAATATTTAGCAAATGATTTTCGAATAAACCTTCATATATCATTCAAGGCTATTCTGCTATGAGCTTATTGGCAAGGTTAAGAATATTAATAAGGATGATGATAAAATGTCTTACTATTCGCCAAATAGTCTCAGGCAGAATTTCTGATCTATGTTTTTCAATAGTATCTCATATAGTATGCCATCCAAATAACTTCTCAAATCTAAATGCAGTGTAACATAAATAGGAATGGCGCTTCAGCATGGTATTGGAACAGCTTAAATTGTAAATTATATTTCAAAACGAATAGTAATTCAGATAATCTCTGCAGTAACGTATAAAATGTAAATAACATATAATATAATATTTTTGTAAGGTCAGCTTGCTTATAGATATGTAAGATTAAATTTTAACTTTCGCTCACTCTACTAAGCTAGATTAGTAGCTGGAGCGATTTTATAGCCATCGCTTACACGAAAGGTGGGGACACTCTCTGAGCCGTAGAATCATGGACCAATTTATGAGATCTGGTATTCAGTTATTTATTTTAAAGTATGGAAACATTACTGTAACGCATAAAAACAAGAGAGCAGTACGTACAAGCCTGCATAACGAAATAATAAAAGGTAAACATGTTAGATCTAGAGATATAGTGAGATGTCATATTTGTATGTACTATAGAAAAAACTTATATTTCAAATACTTATATGGAGATTATCTGTTTGCTTAAAGGGAGAATAATAAATATGAGGTAATATGCTAGTGAATAATCCCTAAATGCATGCTAATTAATACGCATCATAATGCTAGATGTAAAGTTCAAGCTTACTAATAATTAGTGAATAAACCTTAGTCATCTAAAGCAACTCAAAGTTAGCTATAGAGCGAAAATCAAGATTTTTCTACAATCAAATGTGTAAATATCACGTAGTAATAAAATTAAAGTTAGTTTTAATCGAAGGTATGAAGACCAAAATGGTGTGGCCTTTTGTGTGGTCGCAGTCTTCTTTCGTTGTATAGAGGTTCTGTGACCTTGTTTTCGCAACATGATCATATTGATAGGAAGTCTTAGAGGAGCGCACCTAGTCCGAAATCCATTGTCTGTACGATCCTTTCCAAAGTTGAACTGTGGACTTGATACATTCCCAAACGTTTCGCCAAGAATAACGATAATCACTGAGGATGCCGACTTCGTTACCGGCGAAACGTTTGGTAATGTACAACGTCCACGGTTAAATTTTGGAAATAATCATGCAGACAATGGACTCCGGACTAGATGCGTTGCTCTAAGTATTACTACCAATATGACCATGTTGCAAAAACAAGGTCAAACAAACTCTAAGGTTAGTTTTGCCTCGCAAAGATTTTCACCTAAGGAAGACTGCAGGAATGAACTTTTATATATCTCTTCTTCTTTCTAACGTCAGTCGAAACCAGGATATGGGCATCGTAGCAACGTGACACACAACTTTGCCCCTATACTAGTGGAATAAAGTGGATTTAACTGCAAGATATGCCTACACCGAATCACATTTAAAATGGCATTCGGGACGAAACATTAATATTTTTGCCAAGGCAATCGACGAAATTACATATATTCTGTATTAAAATTGTGAACTAGGCTAATTGGTAAGAATAGATAAAATCCACATAAAGATATGACGACCAGGATTGTGTGGCGCCCGGTATGGTCTCAGTCTCTTTTCGATTTGTAGAAGTGGATTAAACTCGTTTTCTCAAATTGTTCTTTTTGTCACGAGACTTAGTAGAACGCATATTGTCCGAATTCATCTCACATAGTAGTTATCATAATTTCCAGCATCAGACCATGGACTTAGTACATTCTCAAACGTTTCACCGGCATCGTAGTCGGTATCAGAAGTGAGTGCCTCATTCTTTCCTGGCCCATCTATCAACTCTTTATCCAGCTCCCGCCCTATCACAACTTCTCACTTGTTTACATTCCACTCATCAAAATGTGTGCCTTATTTTGGCAAATTTAGTGTGGCATCATCATACCCGCTATTCACCACGATCAGCTAATCCGATCAGACCTACAATTCGGATCTCTTTCGTGGTCCCATTGATCTGTTCTTTTTCTTACTGGTTGACTGATTTCACTCGGTTCGAGTCCCTGAGTGTGTTTTACTCCAAGCTCTATTTCTCAAGGTCTAGGAGGCACATACCCTGCCAACTCACCGAGCAGAGCGCTTCGGCTCTGATTGCCATGCTTGCAGATATCAGACTTTCTCTTCACGGGTCGTCTCGTTTATTAACCAGTGTTACATGGCCAAACTTTTAATGCCTATCTCTAGTCACCTGTGGCATCTCAAGTGGATTTCTAGTACATTTGGCCATAATGCCTAATTTATGTAACGATCGTACTTATCCGTATGCCTAGTTTCCTGACTGCCAGGCCCCCAAAGTTGTGCTGGTTTATTCGAACAGATGGTACTCACTGATGATGTCTTAAATTGATTCCCGAAAATCCCTTCCTTTTCTCATCGCGACCTCTTTTCTTTCGTATTGAAGTAGAGTTTCGAGACCTTTCTTGAAATTCACTTATGTTCTGTGACTCAAGGGTACTCATGGCAATGTAGCCGAGTGATAAGCGTGTCAAGTTTCCATCCTGCACTGTCGTGGTTCGACTCCCGCTGAGGGTGTTGATAAGACCGATGCAAGGTCGAAACTGCAGTCCACTCCAGCCGGAAAAAGAAAAACTTTTCGGAAAGCAAGGTTATGTGAAATTCAATGAAAATGTCAGCTCAACTCATATCATTATGGGAAAATTCTTCTTCTACCAGTCCTTCATCACATTAGACGAAATTGGATTAATGCATCACTTTTCTTTCGGCTAGCAATAACTATTTGATCCAGGCGTTTGAATTTTGCTGATCCTGCTCTATTCTTGTTTTTCCCGAGTTTGCTTAGGCAGTAGACAAAGTTATCGCTAACTCTGCCTTCCTCCAATCTCCTGTTTACTCGAATTTTTCCATAAGAATGTCAATGGCTTCCGTAATATTCCGTTTCTTTGTGCTTTCGTTGTATGAGACCTTTCCTTCCGTTGCCTTCCAATTGATCCCATGTTCAGTCCGTGTGATGTTTCGCTAATTTTGATCTTTGGTATACATTTTCCTGCAGAGCTTTTGATGTTTCTTCATTTTTATGCTAATTGTTCTTCCTGTTTCGCCAAAATATTTCTGTTTGCAGGCGCCGCATGATATACGGTAAACTTCCGAACAATCCTATTTGTCTACTCTCTTATGCTGCGTCGGTAGACTTGTGAAAAGTTATCTTTTTTCCTTCATGGTCACCTGAATATTCCATTTCTTAATATTGGCCGTAGTATTTGAGTTATTTCGCAGGATAGTAGGCATATCCACTTTTTGATCCTTCTCTCTCCTTACTATCCTTTCCTAGTCCCCGTTCTGCCATCGCTTTTCACGATCGTATGTTTCTTTGTATTACTTCGCCTGGGAAGCCGTTGCCGAGAAATATCGGAGTCAATTTTTCTAACTCTTCGTCGCTTCCCTTCGGCAATATGGCAAATTGTACTATAGATCCACATGAGATGCCGCAGGTGACCAGGGATATGCGTCTACAGTATGCTCAGGTAACAGGGATTTAATCAAGGACACGATTCTTGAAGGCAATGTCTGAGATGTGCAAGCATGGCAATCAGAGCCGATGCGCTCTGCTCGGCGAGTTGGCAGAGTATGTGCTTCCAAGACGTTGAGAAATAAAGCCTGGAGTAAAGCACACACTGGGACTCGAACCGAGTGAAATCGGTCAACCAGAAAGATATAGAACGGATCAACGGGACCACGAGAGAGATCGGGGTTGTAGGCCCGAGTCAGATAAGCTGATCGAAAGAGAGGATGTCGGAATGACTAGCAGTTGTGATGAGGCCACACTGAATTCGACAAAAGAGGACACACTTTTTGATGGGTGGAATGTAAACAAGTAAGAAGTTATGATAGGGCGGGAGTTGAATAAGAAGCTAAAGAGTTGATAGATGGGCCAGGACAGAATGAGGAGTGATATTTAACCGTTTTTGTAGAACGTAGGCCGAGGGTTTGATTTCACATATCTCTTTGATAAGTTCGTTACTTGATGCGGAGAATGGCAATGCCGACTATGATGCCGACGAAATGTCTGAGAATGTACCAAGTCCACGATCTCATGCTGGGAATTATGATAACTACTATTTGAGAGGACTTCGGATAAGGTGCCTTTAATTAAGTCGCCTTGACTACTAGACCAAATTGCTATAACGAGTGTAACCAACTTCTTAACTCCGATCAATTTAATTTCATTATAAGTAGTCTTCGGGGCAATCAAATAATAGGGGATAAAAGCCTGCTCACCATACGCACAAAGGACGGATATTTGGTCAGTATGCCTCACCAGGCCATTTCTTTTTACTTAGTTATGTCTTTTAAATTGGTATATGAACCAGAGTTGGCTTTCATTTCATCTTTCCCTGGATCTCATTTGCTGCCTTACCAGGATTCGATATTGGCAATATTACAAGTTCACGATACTAACACAGATGTTAGTGATTCACCTGTCAAAACTGATATGTTCTCTTAACCAAAACCCAAGTTGTTATTTCGTGGCGGAATGATTAGTATTAATTTTCACATTTATCATGTGTTATCTAGTGCCTATGCTTATGTAATGGAGTGAGGACTTTGCTATAATACGCAAGACCTTGTATAGAGTCCAGTTCCGAGTCGAATTCGCAAGTGTAGTTCATCCTTTATAGATAGGGCTTTGGGATTTAATGCAAAGCTAACATTAATGATGTACTAAGGTCTACTTATCTTACTGTGGGAAAAATTAATATAATTTATAAAGTGATCTATTTTAATGGTACGTAATATCAAGAAAATGATTTATCTTAATAAAGTTAATACTTGCTCTGTATATAAATTGCTTAAAAATCTGGTTGACAT